TCCACGACAGGCTGTAATAAAGGAACTGAGCTGAGACATGCTCACTTTCTTCATCTGTTTTTTTTCCTCAATGTTATGTTCATTTGAGGAAGCTAGTGAAATGAATTTTGTGAAACAATAGTGCTTGAGTTTAATATTCACGGTATAGAATATCGAAATAGTTCCTGTTCGCTTTTTTCGACACTGTTGAGCTTGCAAACGGTTTTGCGACGAATCTTCGTGTTATTTCTTAACGGTATTTCGAAGAAATTAGAGGACAAAAAATTGGGTGAGGGAACGAACAGAAAGCTAAGATATCATTGTAAGGGTAAAGATACTGAAATAACAATTTTCAGAAAAATCTGCGAGAAGAACAAAGCAACGCTGGACCAAAATGACGTTTGACTTGGTTCCAAGCGACAGTAAACTTCCCTTGAGGAAACTTACAGATCAATGGCAATTTCAACTTAAGAAATTTAGTTGAATCCAATTAATGAAAATTGCAGAAGACACAACTTTTTGGTATAATTTTGTGAAGGCCATCATTCAGAGGGGTAGCGAAAAGAAATTATGATTATGTTATGACGGCGTTGCTAAACTAACGTTAACTAATTGTGCAACGTTGGATGACAGTCATTTCTGGTGCCACGAGATCGACTTCGACAACCACGCGAGAGACTGTTGAGCTAAGAGTTTTACCCAACCTCGTTGTTCGACTGCTTTCAGGTTCATGGCAATCCTCTATGTCTGTTGTTTCTACGCATAACGGTGCGTTGCGCATTTGTTCATGAGGACTTTACTTGGATTGTCCCTCACCTTTTGCCTGTTCTTACCATTATTCGATCTTGCTTACTGAAATACTTGCTGATTCAACATCATTCATTAAAACAGGTAGAAAACAGGGACCTTCTGATACAACGGTTTAAACCAAAAAACGATTAATTATTTTTCCTAAGCTTTTGTTTAAAACTGGCAATTTTATCGTCTTTTCTCTGCGCCTGTGATCATTGTGTCGGTGGACTTTCTGTGTCGAAATCTTCCGGTCGTTAATCGTTACCTATGCAGATTCATGTCAAATCGCTTACATTATTTCAGCTTAATTTTAGTTGTAAAAATCCAAGTTGAAATATTACCAACTCAAGACTCGGTGCGTCCTACGAGGGCCAGCAACCCAGTGGCTGATTCGGACGCCAACCAGTTCGGAATGGAAACCAAAGGTGCGAGTATCAACCTGCCAGTTTCATCGTTAATTCGTACGTCCGAGTAGAGGGGGTTTGGTCGGAAATCGTGACGTCGTTTTTTTCCAGCACTGGTACGACAGCAGTTCAAAACTACAGGACACCACAGTCCACAGGGATTACCGTACCTGACGCCAGATCAGCCTCCAACAGTGCGCTGCGGATACTTTGTTTTCACCGAAGGGCTAAACGCCATTTTGAATCCTACCCAAATGCAAGATCAAGAACATGGTGACAAAATGGTCGTCAATTCTGAGATCATCGGTGTCACCATCAACAGTGGTGACATTGGAGTTATTCTTCCTCGTTCAAGTCCGCTTACCATTAAATTATGGCACAAAAATCGCAAAAATGTTAAGAACCCCAAGTGTGTCTTTTGGAACACTCAAACCAAGTAAGTAGTCATTTATTTACAAAAATATTTCCTTTCATATGGAATGTTCAATTTCATCGTATGCTTACACAATAAGCGACAAGGTGGCCGGAGTGCCATAATTTTCATTTTAATCTTTCATTTTCCCTCAGCGTGAATGCCGTTTTGTTTCGTCCCTTTATTCAATGCTTCTCGTTCACCGTCGCTGTAGTCTTACTTTCAATCTTGACCTCAGAGCGGAATCTTGCAGCGCTATTTTCTTGGACCAGTCGCTTCTGTAATGGTGAATTAATGGATTTCGTTCACCGCTCTTTTCATGAGAAAGCGCTGACCTGCAAGCTGCATGAAGAACGCTTAAAACACATCTTATGCTTCCAAGAGATTGGTACCAATCTCATGCAGTTGAATGATTTAAATATGAAATTAAAATTAGCTTCTCCCTGTTCGATGATCTACAACCTGCGACATTCAAGATTAAGAAGGAATACATTGTTTGAGCTGACATCAATTTCCTTTATGCTTCAGGGGCAGACACCATTAGCACACATGTTTGCTATGGACTTTATGGCATGATTCAAGCAATCGTTTCGATGCCAGCAGCTAAAAGTGTTTTGTTTATTATGGCATAATCCGCAGCTGGGTAAACATTTTGGCTTTTCTAGTATTTCTTTCAGACTCAGTGACATTCGTCCATTTTTTCTTGGCAAGGAAATGAGCGTTGCTAAGTAATCAATGGCGATATTTTAGATTAATCACAAGGAATTGTTACATTTTCAAATTGGTAGTTTTCGAATTCTACACACTGCTGTATTCTGGAAAGAATTTTTTCCTGAGCACAATTTTTACTCGATATGTTTAAACACAGCATGATCTTGTTACTTGCGGACATTTGCAAGTACGCGTCAACAAAAGATCTAGCAGTTAAATAGAATCTTTCACCAACGGATTGAAGGTTAGCCTATCCGATGGATGCGCAAATAGCACTATTCCGAGGATGCTGACGGATGAATGGCGAGGGACTCGAAAAGGTCACTAATCATGCATATCCTGGTCCTCAAGGAGATTGATCAAAAGAAAGAAGGCAGAATGAGTGAGCTTTAACAGAATTAAAGCATCTCTACTCGACAATGAGCTGTCTACGCAGTTGAAGAATAAGCTGTTCAATTCAACCATCCTATTAGACGTGATCTGCACGGCGCTGAATGTTGGTATGAGCGAAAAGACGTGAATTTTGCCTCCTGCAATGAATAGCGAAGAGGAGACGGCTATTCGACTCGCCCGAGAGACAACCGACGGACTTCAAGGCTTACAATCCGGGTTCTGCACGACCATATGTTTCCACCTGGTCATCAAAGTACTCAGGAAAGAAGCAAACAACATGGAATGGAACAGAGAACTAATGTCGACATGTGTTCCTGCCAAATCCCGTAACAAATTATCCCGCTAAACTATCTGGTTTAGTCTGGAGTTGCCATGGCGAGCTGAAATAAATTTTTCTAGACAGATTTGTTTCACGAACAGAGGGTAACCGCAACGGTTTAAAGAGTGAATAACGTAGTTTCTTAAATTCCAAAATTTCTGCCTAACCAGTAAACGAAAGTGAACTGAAGTTTCTTACTTCAGATCGGTTGCGAATTTGAAAAATTATAAATCGAATAATGGCTTTTCTTGTCTTTATTAATCGAACTGACCACTGCTTACAGTCAATGGGATCCAACAGGCTGCTACCTGTTAAACTTCACCGACGAATACACTACCTGTGGTTGTACGCATCTGACCAGTTTTGCCGTCCTCATGGATGTGACAGGGGTTCTTTCTTCGGTAATTAATAAAACATGTAATTCGTATTCGTTTATTCAATGGTTCGCTTTAAGTTGAGTATCGATGATAGAAACGACCTGACTTACGTTACGATAGCAGCTGTGTGCATATCAGTCACGTGTCTGATCCTTTGCCTTGTCGTATTCACGTGTTTCCGGTAAGTCACATAATTTTCCTTGAGTACTGATCTACTATCATAGCATCATAGGAGTCTGCGTAGTGCACGCATTACCATACATCGAAATCTATGTCTCTGTTTGTTGTTTGGAGAGCTGCTGTTTTTGGCTGGAATAAACCAGACGAAAAGCAAGGTACGACGTAGAACGCCGTTATTCAAAGTTGCAAAGGTACTGCTTCAGGTAGGGTGCGCCATGGTCGCCGTATTGCTACAGTATACGTTCACTGCGGCATTCATGTGGATGCTGATCGAAGGCTACCAGCTGTACTTGATGCTCGTGACCGTCTTCGAAACGGAAACGTCTCGAGGTCTCTGGTATCATCTAATTGCATACGGTAAGTCCGTTGTCTTTAATTTCCTTGAAAATCAAATTAGACACTGTATAGCAGTCACTGAATTTCGCTCTGAACAGCCAGCTGCCAGAAACAAGTAAAAGACTCAAATTTCACAGACGCTGCTATTGCGTTCGTCTATTTCTTGCAACGAGTTGAAGCAGCAAAGTGATTTCAATCGTTTTTTCCATATCTGTCTTTCCATGCAGAGAATTAACAGAATCCAAAACATCAAGAATAGCAAACCGAGCACAAAGATTTTATTCCAGTCCATGACCATTCATTTGTATTCGACGGAACCTCGGGAACAATCCTATAACTCGAATAATTTATTATCGGTCATCTTGCAACAGAATGTGTTAATAATTTGCCTGTATTACTTTATTTACTTTATTTTTAGTTAATTTAGGTTAGCTATTCCATTCTAATAATCGCCTTATAACAGAACAGATATATGTTGCGCAGAGTTTACAAGAAGTATGTCATAGGATGTTAATGGAATAGATATTTTGCTAACGGTCTGTCATTCATTCAACCTAGAATACTTGTAGAATAGGATCTGTAGAACAGTTTGAAAGTTTCACTTTTGTGTCAGGCCGTACTGGAGCTGTTAAACGTCATACTCCCATGGGCAGACGGTCATGAAGCGGCCACAGTGCCGCGTTAAATGCTGACAGTTTGGGTGCTACTGATGGATATCGAAACTTGATCGTTACGCTAGGTTACGTTGAAATCATGCAGCCCATTTCGATTGACCAGTGGCAATAGGAACCGCCAGGACGGCGAGGTTTTGACCGTGGAAGAAACGGGCGTCCAGCATATGGCATGCCAGCGACAGCGCCATCTCGTGGACTTTATGGCAGAATTCCAACGGTGGTGGATGTGACAGACCATACCGGACTTGTTAAACGTCATACTGTAATGGGCGGCCATGGAGCGGTCAATTAGGTGCAATTGATGGATGGTACAAATTGGTTGTGGACGTCATCGCTTATCGATAGTAGTTCGTATGCTATCATCTTCGAATGATCGATGGTGTAGATCGGTAATGACAGGATGCCGTGTACCATCACCAACAGGACTATCTAGCATCGCCATGACAGGCTCAACAAAGTAGTCGCCGCTTGACAGCTGACAAACCCCCAGCATGAGAGTCACCAGTTCGTAAATAATCGATTCTATCCATGACACTACCCGATCTTGACAAAAGCGCGTACGTACGCTACTGGTGGTGAAAGCAGATTTTCTCGAACTTTCGAAAAAAATGTATATAGAAGCCACTCCTTCATTAATGAGGACTAGTTTTAGTGGGGTAATTTGGAGTGATAACGTATATAGTGCTGCTGTTTGTAATTCTCAATTACATTATCAGAACAAACTCATATGATCAGGTAGCGGTGCTCCGCGTCCTCGTATGCAGATCGGGCTTCAAGCGGCTGAAGGAATGGACCTTCGCCGAAGCAGACCCTCCGGGTGGGCTAGCACACTTCGTTTTCCCATAATCAACACGATCTCGTGATGTAAATACTGTGCTGTTCTTCCTCCAACTCCAGCCATTCCCAATGATGGGAGCTGTTTATATTCAATCCTTAGTCAGAATTTTGTCTTATACCGTTTAAACCCTCAATTTGTCACTGGACGTTTGCGTTCATACTGTTTATTCACACGATGGTCGAACCCGGGAAGTGTGCTTTTTTAGCTGGTTCACGCTACAGAGCTAAAGCTTTCTGCTGAAAAGTCATGCTGAACCGTATCAGAGAGAATGATGCCATGGTGATTACCTCATACCTTCTGGAGGAAGGACATCCACATCTTCATGCTGCTTAGCTTTCACAGCTATTGTTCTAAATAATGGCACTGGATTTTGAATTGTTTAGCAGTCATTACGTCGATGGTTCCGTTCCGTTACTGAGTTAATCACGTCACTGCTATAGCGTATAAAAGCATATGTCTACTTTTTATCGACGCTCTGCAGAATTCGTCAATTTATTCGTTTGAATAGCTCTGAGCAGCTGAATTGGTGTTATAGCAGAAAGGATATGTCAGTGATAAATGATCATTCAGACTCGACAGCAGCTGTTCATCATTAAAGCAATTCGAAGCAATCCTTAACTAAGTAATGGATAGATCTTTACAGCAGGAATGTTCTGAGTGCTATATATTTAACTGAGCGTCAGTCATGACGAGATGGGCTGTTGAAGAACTTAACTACTTCCTTTTCACTTTTTTTGAGGATCACACCGGCTTCAATAATCGTTAGAGTCATGCCATAATTTTTCTTCTCCTCTCAGTTCACTGCAATGAAGACTACAGAATGCCGTACAGGCATTCAACCGGAATTGGGAACTCGTTCTTTAATCCTGCCGGTATCATGCCAGTTATTATGAAACCATACCATCTTGGAAATCTTCCCAATGGCTGCGCCTTCCGTTTAGTGGTCGCTTCGCAATGAGGTTAACACCCATTCGCTGGCAATGACTCTCTACCATCCTAAACGCATTGTTCTAAGACATCTGGTTTCTTTAGTCGGCAACCTAATCTCTTTATTGCTACAGTATGAGAAATCTGGCCGAGCCACTTCCCTAGTAATATTATTCTTCATCTTCATCTTCCATCGCCGCTTCTTCTTTCAGGTCGCGGAGGCAGACGCGTCAGACAGAGCTTCCAACGATCACGATCCTGTGCCAGAGTCTGAGCTTCGGCAAAAAACAACTGGAGTCTGGAACAGACCAGGTTAATCTTGGCCGTCCCCTGGGCCTTCTT